GGGGGGGGGGGGGGGGCGCGGGGGGGGGGGGGGGGGGCGGCGGGGGGGGGGGGGGGCCCAGGCCTGTCCTTTCCCGTGGGAAGTGGGTGGGTTTAGTTGGTCACAGCCCTGGGGAGAGGGGGCTGCAGGAGGGGGCCTCCTGGGACTCAGGCCTCAGGGTCCCCCCTTCCCTGCAGAGGAGACGCCGTTTGAGGTGGGGATCCGAGTGCAGATCCACAGCCAGGAGGAGCCGCCACTCATTGACCAGCTGGGCTTTGGGGTGGCCCCTGGCTACCAGACTTTTGTGTCCTGCCAGAAGCAGCAAGCATCCTCTCTGGTGCCTCCAAAACCAGGCTCCGACTTCCTCCTGAGCCCACGCTACCTCAGACCCCAACCCCAGCTCCTCAGAACTGTCCCAGTGATCTCGCGTTCTATGCAGGCCCCCACTTCTCCCAGAGCCTCCTTAACCTGTCCGCCTACAGCTGAGCTTCCTGCCGCCACCCTGGGGTGACTGCAGCTCTGTCTCTCTGGACCCTGACTTTGAGCCAGAACCTTCTGGTCCTCTGGATCCCCCCAGGCCCAGCCCAGGTCCCAGCCCTCCCTATAGTCTAATAGGGTGTCGCCTGGCCTGCGAGAGCCGCTATGTGGCTCGGAAGTGTGGCTGCCGAATGATGCATATGCCAGGTAAGGGGCTGGGGGCAGCAGAGGAGGGGGTCCGGAAAGGCAGGGAGGCCTGGGGGGGGGCCACTCCTGAAGCTGTCTCCTCCGCCCCCGTGCAGGCAGCGCGCCAGTGTGCAGCCCCCAGCAGTACAAGGACTGTGCCCACCCGGCGCTGGGTAAGGGGCAAGCCTCTCCCGCATCCCATCCCCACCCCGCTCCACCCGCGACCCTGACCCCGCGGGGCGGGCGGCCCTGACCCAGGCGTCTGTGGCCCGCAGACGCCATGCTGCAGAAGGACGCGTGCACCTGTCCCAACCCGTGCGCCAGCACGCGCTACGCCAAGGAGCTCTCCATGGTGCGGATGCCGAGCCGCACCGCAGCCCGCTACCTGGCCCGGAAACACAACCGCAGCGAGGCCTACATCGCGTGAGCCCCGCAGGGGGCCGGGGGCCCGGGGGCCCAGGGGCGAGGCGAGCACCGAGCCTCCGGGCCGAGCCTCCGTGCGCAACGCCCAGGGATGGGACACCAAGCTACACATCATTACCAGGCTTGGGGACTCTGGGCAAGCTGCTTAACCTTTCTGACGCCGGCTCTTCC